GCCCCATGTTTGCGGGAAAGTGCCATGCCAGCCACGCCACCCTGCCAAACCCCAGGGGCTGCACTGCCTCCAGCCCTCTCATCCCAGTAGCTGAAGGCACCGTAACTCCTCTTTTTCCATCCCAAAAGCACAGATAAAATCCCAGGGCTACCCAACCAGCCGGGCTCTCAGTCTCTCTTGGCCAGGCATGGAGAGGATCCCACAGGGATTCGCAGCCTTAGGGATGAGGACAACCCAAAAGTTGGCTTCCAGATCAAACATTTTCTGTACAAATTGTGTCTCTGGTATAAATTCCTTTATCTTTGAGGTCGATTTTTTTTTTTCTCTCCCAAAAAAAACACTCCCATGGCCAGGAGCTGGATGCTGCCGGGAGCCAGTGGCAGTTCCTGCGCCTGACTCATGGGACCAGGGCAAGCCATGCCACGAGCCCGTGCCTGCAACCCAGGATCTGGCATGATGTCCCTGAGGCCATGGGTGTCCCAGGAGCTGGGGTGACATCCCCAAGACCAGACCAGGGCTGGCTACAACAGGATAGGGGGAGCAAACAGGTTTGTCCAGACCAGATGCCGAAGGAGACGCTGACAACTACTTACATCTTCATCACACTCAATACCTTGAGATGTGTCAGTGCCTCTTACAAGCATTAAATATTTCATTAGTTTTGCTCTGCCTTTTACACCAGAACATCATTTCACCAACTTGTCTTTACTGCCAGCAGTGATTTTTGTCATTTGCTTCTGCTCAAGTTTGTTCAAACCCTCGGTCCCCTCCACCGTTGTGCATCTTAACATCTACATGCAAAGTGGTTGCTCGCTGCAATCCGCATTTGGATTTTCAGACCCATTCCTTAAATCCACTCGTACTTAGGAAAGGGACGGAGGACGCTCCAACTCTCCACATTTTAAGGAAACTTTGCAGGAGGCCACCCTGCCTCTCACTCCCTCTGCCTGGGAATCCCAGTCCCGCAGCCTGGGTGGATCAGCTCTGCATCCACCAGCTCTGCCTGTGGTTTGCAGGGTTATAACATTCAGTTTATTCCCATTGCGGGTCCCTCTGGCGCTCGTTGTAACAGGATCACGCTCTATAAACAAGCATCGGCTGAAGAAACACTTCTGTTCCCCACCGGAGCAGGCACAGGGTCTTTCGGAAATAAATGCAAAATTGCCACGCGATGTAAATCTGCAAGAGGACGGGGAGGGAGATGACGCCAGTCCAGGCTCTGGGGATGCCTGGTGAGAGGAGCAGGAGGAGCACCCTGTGCTCCACGTTCTTTACTCTCCTGGGATTTATTCAAGGAAAAATAAGAAAAATCTCTCATTGAGGGCTGGAGGCACCTCTGCTATGAAGACAGGCTGAGAGAGTTGGGGTGGTTCAGCCTGGAGAAGAGAAGGCTCCAGGGTGATCTTATTGCAGCCTTCCAGTACCTAAAAGGGCTACAAGAAAGCTGGAGAGGGACTTTTGACAAGGGCGTGTAGTGACAGGACACGGGACAATGGCTTTACACTGAAAGAGGGGAGATTTAGATCAGAGTTAAGGAAGAAATTTTTTACAATTAAGGTAGTGAAACACTGGCACAGGTTGCCCAGAGAAGCTGTAGATGCCCCATCCCTGGAAATGTTCAAGGCCAGGCTGGATGAGGCTTCGAGCAACCTGATCTAGTGGAAGGTGTCCTGCCCGTGGCAGGGGGGTTGGAACTAGATGATCTTTAAGGTCCCTTCCAACCCAAACCATTCTATGATTCTATGTTGGGACAAACTTGAAAGCCAGCCCCGCTTCTGAGCGGAGGTTGGACCCAGTGACCTCCAGAGGCCCCCTTCCACCTAAGCTATTCTAATGAGAAAAATTCAGAAATGCCTTTTTTTTTTGTAGTTCTTCTCCTTGAGGTCAGTGAGCTCAGTGAGGGCTCCGCAATGCAACCCCTGGGGATGGGAGTACTGGAGACATCCAAGAGAGTTGGGTTTTCTCCTGTGTATAGCATCAGCAAGGCCACAGTCCCATGGCCACAGCCATGGGGATGCTGGAAAACCCAGCAGAAAACCCAAGAGGCACAGAGAGACTCCAACAGGACTTCACCAAGGACTGATCCTTCTTGGCCACCAAGATGAGCAATCGTACCCATCAGCTCCTGACCAGCCAGAAGACAGCCACCTGCGCTGAAAGGTCCCCACTCCACTGCAAAGGAGATAGTCCAGGTTGCCACCAACTGTGGTTAAAGTCCATCTACCCAAAGCCCAGGAGACCACACCAAGCAGCTCCAGACACGTTCATTTCCTCCCCAAGTGAATTTACAACTATCAACCTCAACTTTTTGGGACATCTACCTTCTGCCAAGAACATGCACAGGAGGTTCTCATTTCCACAAGGGTTGATTTTAATTTTCCCAATCGATTTGCAGGTTTGGGCTGAAGTTTCAGATAAAACTTGAGATTTTTTGAGGCAACTTGAATTTGTACCTCAAATAAAAACAAGGTGGTTTTCTTCACCCCGTTAATTGAGGCAGACAAAGCCCTGGCTGGTGCTGCAGGTGAAGCAAGCAGAAAGCAACATGAACATGTTTTGCACCCTTCAAAGCCATCATCACTGTGCCAAGGGCATCGATGGCTCCGCTTTCAAGAAACCACACACCTGTGAACATCATCCATCAAACAGGGGAGTTTGAAGCTGAAGGAGCTACTCATGGCACTGATGGGACCCAGGTGGTTTGAGAGAGATGGAGATACATAGCAAAAGGATGAGAGGCAACGAGTTGGCAAGGGAGAAATCCTATTTGGGTATAAAGACAGTAATTCTTTGTGTTGGGTGGTGACACACAGCCTTGGGGAGGTGGTGGGATCTCCATCCTTGGAGAGCTTCGAATCTCACCCGGCTGAAGCTCCGCACAGCAGCACACAGCTCTCCTGATGCATGGCCAGGTGGAGATGAGCCCAGCACCCGCCCTGCCTCATTAACAGCCGTTAGTATTTCAAGCAGGTTCAAGATCACTTGTAGCTAACGAGACATGGCAAAGGAGAGCTGTTTGGGAGCTGGACACTGAGGGCAGCACTAGAGCCAATCAAGGCACTTCCAAGACCATTCCTTCCCTCCCCATCACAGCAAAGTCTTCCAGCATCTCACCCAAACCATCCTATTTCTGAAAAATGCAGCTGTCTCAGTGCTGGGGTCCTCCAGGAGGAGGATCTGGCTGGGGAGTCTGTGCCTGCTCCCCTCCTGGGGACACCACATCCCCACTAGGAACAAGGGCTCCAACTGCTGACCTCCTGCCTTCAGGAATGTCATTCTCAGATGGTCATGGCTCGATTCAGCCCAGCAAGGACCAAGCCCAGGGCTCCAAGGACACCATTGCTCCAGCATCCCCCAGATGACAGGAATTCAGGAAAGTTCCAATTTCAGCCCAAAATGAATCCTGTCCACCTCCTGCACTGCAGGTGAGACTGCTGAGGACGTGCAAACCCTCCCAAACCCTACAGCACTGTACACTGCACAAGCAAAAAAAAACATCTAAATCCTGTTCCCGGGATAGGAACAGGCTCGTCGCCACCCCCGGGACAGCAGCAGAGGCACTGCTGGAGGCACCGGCCCCACGAAGCCCTCGCAGTGCCCTCGGCCAGGGCCTGTCCCGGCTCGCTCCGGCGCAGCATGGCAAACAAAGACCGGCGAGGAGGAATGAGCAGGTATTTGGGGGTGTAAAAGCTTTTCCTTTTGTTTGTTTGCTTCACTGAAATAGAAGTTGACACAAACGATTTCCCAAGGGAAGTGTCACTCTGTCGTGGCCCAGAAGGGTTTAAGGGTGCCTTGGTGCATGGGAACACGCGGGGACGGCTTGGACACGGGGCAGATGTCTGTGTGTGCAAACCCCAGTGATGTCCTTCATGGCCAGGAGCACGTCAGGAGACCCTGGGATCGCATCTTGGAGGGAAAGGGATCACCAGCCACCAACACGGGGCTGACCTTCCCTTGCACCCAGCTGGGCCATCTCTGTGACCATCACTACTCCTTCTCCCTCACCATGTTGGGCTCCACCATTTGCTTCCACCCAACCGTCTCCCCAGGGCAGGTCCATAGCCCCTCGGCAGGATTTTCCAGCAGGTTTTGTGCAGGATAAGGTTCCCTGGGAGGGCACATGTCACCAGGGACGGTGCTGTCCCCAGCAGCTCCGTGAGCAGAGGACACAGCGGGGGAAGCTGGGGGCACCCAGGCCTCAGCACACCACAAACCCCGAGCACAATGTACCAAA